TACTGGGCCAATTACCTTCAAACTTTAACTAAATGTTCCCTAGGGTATCTTGTTTATAAACTGTATCCAAAATTTGTATCCATCAACAAACATGGCTGCCATGGCTAAAAATAGAACATAAGGGTCAAATGCAGTTTTTGGCTTATATCTCAAAAACTAAATAAATCTTTTAGAGCAAATGTGACATGGGGTAAAATTGTTAAATTGGTCAAGATCTATCGGCCCTGATATTATCAGACGAATCGAACAACCCATTGTTGGGTTGCTGCCACCAAATTGGTAGTTTTAACAAAATTTTGCTGTTTTTTGTTATTATTTTGAATATTACTATAGATATATGTAAACTGTAAGCAGCAATAATGTTCAGCAAAGTAAGATCTACAAAAAAGTTAATATGACCAAAATTGTCAATTGACCCCTTAAGGAGTTATTGCCCTTTAAAGACAATTTTACACAATTTGTTCAAGTTTGCTAACATTTAAAAATCTTCTCCTCTGAAATACAGGTGAGCGATTCAGGCTCTTGAGAGCCTCTTGTTTATTTACTTGTACTGGAAAATTGTTTTGGAGGTGAGTTATCTCTTAGACATTCACTTTTTATTTACTTACTTAAGTAAAAAATCATATTATCTTTTTTTCTTGAATATCTTTTGAAAAGCACAACATAAATCAATAAACAGCTGCGCCATGAGCGCATGATACGCCCTCCGCTTTTTCAAAGAATAAAGTTCAATTACTTCTCAATGTCATATCAGAAATTCATGAAAAACTAAAGGGAGGTTATAGATATAAACCAGTCACCAAAGTTTCAAGAAAACTGCTCAAAGCACTTTAAAATATTGTCCAAAAACTGGAAAATTACCCCTTTTTTATGAATAAAATCCCATCACTCGGAAACGTAAAATCTTAAATTTATAATAAAATGCTTCGCTGGGGCGCAGCTTGATACGACCGCAGAGGTCGAACCCTGAACAGTTGGGGCAAGTATGGACTCAACATTCAAGCTTGATACAGCTCTGAATTTGGATTGTTATTAAATATTTGACACAGCATAGGTTTCTGACACAGAAAGAATGTGGTCTAAGAACTTGATTTTTTTTAATTTACCTATTATGGTCCAATGTCCAAAATCAATTACATGGTTAGATTCAGCATATCAAAGAACACCATATATTCAATTTTTGTTGAAATCAAACAAAGTTTAATTTTGGACCCCAACTTGGACAAACTTGAAAACTGGGCCCATAATCAAAAATCTAAACACATGTTTAGATTCAGCATATCAAAGAACCCCAAGAATTCAATTTTTGCTAAATTCAAACTAAGTTTAATTTTGGACCCTTTGGACCTTAATGTAGACCAATTTAAAAAACGGGACTTAAAATTAAAAATCTAAATACACGGTTAGATTTGGAATATCAAAGAACCCCAATAATTCAATTTTTGATGAAATCAAACAAAGTTTAATTTTGGATCCTTTTGACCTCAATATGAACCAATTTGATAGCGGGCCCACAAATAAAAAATCTAAATTCATGGTTAGATTCAGCATATCAAAGAACCCCATATATTCAATTTTTGTTGAAATCAAAAAAAGTTTAATTTTGGACCCCAACTTGGACAAACTTGAAAACTGGGCCCATAATCAAAAATCTAAACACATGTTTAGATTCAGCATATCAAAGAACCCCAAGAATTCAATTTTTGCTAAAATCAAACTAAGTTTAATTTTGGACCCTTTGGACCTTTATGTAGACCAATTTAAAAAACGGGACTTAAAATTAAAAATCTAAATACACGGTTAGATTTGGAATATCAAAGAACCCCAAGAATTCAATTTTTGATGAAATCAAACAAAGTTTAATTTTGGACCCTTTTGACCTCAATATGAACCAATTTGATAGCAGGGCCCACAAATAAAAAATCTAAATACATGGTTAGATTCAGCATATCAAAGAACCTCATATATTCAATTTTTGTTGAAATCAAACAAAGTTTAATTTTGGACCCCAATTTGGACCAACTTGAAAACTGGGCCCATAATCAAAAATCTAAATACATCTTTAGATTCAGCATATCAAAGAACCCCATATATTCAATTTTTGTTGAAATCAAACAAAGTTTAAATACTGGACCCTATCTTGGACCAACTTGAAAACTGGGCCCATAATCAAAAATCTAAACACATGTTTAGATTCAGCATATCAAAGAACCCCAAGAATTCAATTTTTGTTAAAATCAAACTAAGTTTAATTTTGGACCCTTTGGACCTTAATGTAGACCAAATTAAAAAACAGGACCCAAAATTAAAAATCTAAATACACGGTTAGATTTGGAATATCAAAGAACCCCAATAATTCAATTTTAGATGAAATCAAACAAAGTTTAATTTTGGACCCTTTTGACCTCAATATGAACCAATTTGATAACGGGGTCCACAAATAAAAAATCTAAATACATAGTTAGATTCAGCATATCAAAGAACCCCATATATTCAATTTTTGTTGATATCAAAAAAAGTTTAATTTTGGACCCCAATTTGGACTAACTTGAAAACTGGGCCAAAAATCAAAAATCTAAATACATGTTTAGATTCAGCATATCAAAGAACCTCACATATTCAATTTTTGCTAAAATCAAACAAAGTTTAATTGACCCTTTTGACCTTAATGTAGACCAATTTGAAAACTGGACCCAAAATTAAAAATCTAAATACACTGTTAGATTCGTCATAACAAATAAATAAATGTGATCAAAGATTTTAAAAATCTTATGCGCCATACTGTGCAATTAAAGATTACTTCTTGAAATTTTTCAATATTTGAAATTTGAAAAAAAAATAATATTTGAAGAATAATTCTTTTTAATTTCTGAAATCTGAAATGAGAAAAAATTGACCCCCCACAATTTCTTTTTATCCCCCCCCACCTTTTTTCCCCCAAAAAATTCTTTCCCTCAAGATATGGTCATTATCTCAATTCAAATTTCCAATGGAGTTGGCAACCATAATTACCCATTTAAATTTACCATAGTGCTAACTTAATCTATTTTATAATAGAATTAAAAATATAGTGTCAAATCTTTCATATGGATTTTTTTGTAAAAAAAAAAGATGCAACATTTGCAGATATTTTTACTGGTCTTCCTTTATAAATATGCATTTCTTTAAACATAATTTAAAAGCAGTGTAAGGGAAGTAACCAAAACATTGTATTTGGATTACCTCCCTTACACTGTTTTAAATTATCTTTATTGTTCATTAACCATTACTTTATACATAATTTAAAGGCAGTGTAAGGGAGATAATTTCAATGATGTATTTGATTTATCTCCCTTACACTGCTTTAAATTATGTTTTGTACTAAAGTATTTGTCCATTAACCAGGACAACCTTGTTTTTCCCCCTTTTTTGCCCCTAATTCCTAAATGGTTTGAGCCATAACCCCCCAAAGCAAATCCTAACCATCCCTTTGTGGTATGGAAACTTGTAGTATAATTTCAGAGAGATCCATACACCGTTGCACAGTTATTGTCTGGAAACTAGAAAATGCTTATTTTTGGCCCCTTTTTGGCCCCTAATTCCTTAACTGTTGGTACCATAACCCCCAAAATCAATCCCAACCTTCCTTTTGTGGTATTTAACCTTATGGTAAAATTTCAAAAAGATCCATTCACTTAAACTAAAGTTAGAGTGGGAAAACCAATGTGTATTCGGACGACGACGACGCCGGACGACGACGACGCCAACGTCATACCAATATACGACCACAAAATTTTTTTCCGGTCGTATAAAAATCGAAATAGAGATTATGCCAATAGATATAAACAATTCACCAAAGTTTCTTGCAAATTGGTGAAAGTGTTTCTGACTTATTGTACGAAAACTGGAAAATCCCCATTTTTTATTGAAAAAAACCCATAACTTGGAAACTTAAAATCTCAAATTTATAAAAAACGAAAGGGAGCTCACGTCAATAGATATAAACAATTCACTAAAGTTTCATGCAAATTGGTAAAAGCGTTTTTGAGTTATTGTCCAACATGTTGACGACAGACGGACTGACAGAAGGACAACGGTATACCATAATACGTCCCGTAAACGGCCATATAAAAACAAAAGTTTGCATATATGGTTATTTTCCTTGTGTAAAAAATGATTTTTTTCAACATGATACCTACTGTAAACAGGGTATTTTTTACAGTGTTTATTTTCGCTATTATTGTGGTAAGAGTTGAAACACGAAAATAAAACTTTCGCAAATATTAAAAGGAAAACCAATTAAAAGGATGAGGACCATACATGAATCTATACCAATAGGTTTATGAACAGGGGCAATTTATAATAAACTGCTGCGCCATAAGTGCATGATACACCCGTCTCTTTTTTCAAAGAATAAAGTTCAATAACTTCTCAATGTTATATCAGAAATTTATGAAAAACTAAAGGGAGGTTATCTTAATAGATATAAACCAGTCACCAAAGCACTTTGAAGATATTATCTGAAAACTGGAAAATAACCTATTTTTATACACCCATTTACGGGGATGTTTTATGGTATGTCGTTTATATCTATTGACGTGAGCTCCCTTTCGTTTTTTTATAAATTTTAGATTTTAAGTTTCCAAGTTATGGGGTTTTATTCATTAAAAAAGGGGGATTTTCCAGTTTTTGGATAATAACTCAAAAACACTAAGAAACTTTGGTGAATTTTTTATTTTTAATTGACATGAGTTCCCTTTCAATTTTTATTAATTTTAGATTTTATGTTTCTGAGTTAATGGGTTTTATTCATTAAAAAAAGGGGGGTTTTCCAGTTTTCGGACAACAACTAAAAAATGCTTTCAGCAGTTTTCATGAAAGTTTGGTGAATTGTTTATATCTATTGATATCAGCTCCCTTTTGATTTTTATAAATTTTAGATTTTAGATTTTAGATTTTACGTTCAGTGAAGGTTAGTCAATACACATCTGTGAATATAAAGTTTGATCATTTTTACCAACCTGTACTAGTGGAATCCTTTTCAAGTGTAGCTGTAGCTGTAATGGTTATTCTTACTTTTGATGAATAATGTTGTGTGCTAGCCTTTTTATAAGGGGCTAACTTGATATAAATAATGCGATCATCACAATATTCATCCACAGGTAGTGTATCATGACAGGTATAACGCTGAAAGTAATAGAGAAATTAATTTATAATGGTCATGAAGACAATCAACCAAAATAGAAGTAAAACTGTACATAATAACCCTAGCTGTAATGATCATATTTTGTTGTCATTCTTTGCTAAAATTCCATTTCATTTATTTCTTGATATCAAACATTCAACAACAAGCATTCTGAGAGTCTTGCATGGCAACACATAGTCCCCTACCGGGTAAAAATTCGTTTTACTGGAACAAAATGCTAACTTGTTCTATAACTTGTCATGGTGTAAAGAAAAAGTAAATATCATGTCAATATCTTCAAGCTTGACTAAAAACAGTGTGGAAAACTGATTATATGAGTGAAAAAAACATTAGATATGTTTAATAGTTCTCTAAAATTAGATATGATGTAATACAGTGTATATCTATTTTCAAATTATAATCAAACATAATTAATAGTTCCAAATATTTTTTCTTTCATTTGTCACAAACTAATATAGATTTGTAACTTATCTATAAAATGTCAACAACATTTATCTACACAATGTAATGTATTGAAATATATACATTAATAAAAATAGATTACATGTATTATCTAATTAAAGGATTTCTCTTCATAAATTTTTCTTTATATATATATAGCATTCAGAAAATTAGTTTATACTAAATAACAAACAAACCTGCTAAAAAATTCTTCAAATAATTTAACAATGAATGTCTTTTAAAAAATAAGCTATCTCCCTTTGTACAGAAATATGGTTTAACATAGTACTCTAACATTAGATATGGTCCATAACTCTGGACTAAATTATCAGACCGGAACAAAATTTGAACTTGATCTGTAACTTGTCATGATAAAACAATATACCAAATATCAAATCAATATCTTCAAGCATGAAGAAAAAAAAGTGTGGAAAGCTGATTTGCCGGACTGACAGAAGGACAGACAGACAGACAGACAGACAGACGGACGGAGTGCAAACCTAAAGTCCCCTTCGACTTCGTTGGTAGGGGACTAATAAACATTTGTCAATCTTGCATAGCTGCATGTTTAAAATGTTACAAGAAGTGCTTATATTAATCATGTATAATGTTTAACATGTAAACTAATATGATATAACAATGTACCATGCATTTAAGATGTACTTCTCATACTGGGTTCATAAATAATGCTCATGTTAAATATAATATTTCATGAAAATTTACTATCTATAAAACACATGACTTTTACATGTCAATAAAATAAATGTTGTTAAGTAAAATTTCAATGGTTATATTGATCTAGCTGGTGCAGAGCCTGAAATTTTGAAGAGGATGGTATGGGCAGGTACTGGGAGGTTTCAGCATTTTTCGCAAATTTCTATATGCCTTTAATAAAAATAATTCCAAGAAAGGAATGGTGACCCCCCTCCTGTTCCTGGATTCGTCAAATGCGTGAAAAAGACATTTCACCACGTATCTGTTAAAAAGGAAACTTGAATTGAATGTTTTATATTGTATTGACCTGAATGTAAACCTACTCTTATATCTGTTGCATAAAAATAAGCAAGTTCAGGGCCCTCACACTGCAAATTTAGAGTTGTAACTTTAGCACACATCTTGCTTCTATCACCTCCGGTCATTAGTTGAAATCTAATACTACAAAATTCAGGATAAGGTTCACCATCCCATTGTACTTCATATATATCATCTTCTGATTTTACATTGTGTCGGTAAACATCACAGTCGTCATCAGTAAAATGAAGCACTGTAAAAAATCATTAATGATACATATCTTTTGTCATTCATTTATGAACAAAAACTTTACTTATACCATTAGTTTGTAAGAAAACAACTTTAAATATTCAAGTCTGGATTTGGAATTCTTCAAGCAAATTAATCTTTTGTTGTTTTAAATGATGTAAGAACTAAAGAAAGGTAAAGAAAGAAAATATGTAAAGACTTGTTACCTGCATTAGAAAAAAATCTTTTAAAATAAAGTAAATTAGCAAAATATATAATCAGCTATAATTTGTCTGAACATACATTTATACCTTTATCTATATGACTGTCAATTAGTATTAAAATAAACTGCTTCGCTGAGCGCAGCTGGATACGCCCGCAGGGGTCCAACCCTGAACAGTTGGGGCAAAAATGGACACAATATTCAAGCTTGATACAGGTCTGAATTTGGATTGTAATTAAATATTTGACATATTATAGTTTTCTGAATAAATGTAGTCAAAGAACTTGAAATTGGTTATATGAATTGAATTTATATTCAATTAAAGATTTCTTGCTGTTGTGCAATACACTGTGCTGATGCGCAATACTTAGTAAATCTGTTGTCAGACCATAAACAAATAAAGTTCAATTAATTCTCAATGTCATATTAGAAATTTATGAAAATGTAAAGGGAGCTTACATCAATAGATATAAACAATTTATTAGACACCAATGTTTCATGAGAATTGCTGACAGCATTTTTGAGTTATTGTCTGAAAACTGGAAAATCCCCCTTTTTTTAATGAATAAAACCCCATAACTCGGAAACGTAAAATCTAAAATTTATAAAAATCGAAATGGAGCTTATGCCAATAGATATAAACAATTCACCAAAGTTTCTTGCATATTGGTGAAAGCTGATTCTTGAGTTATTGTCCGAAAACTGGAAAATCCCCCTTTTTTTAATGAATAAAACCCCATAACTCAGAAATGATAGATGAAAAATTTATAAAATTCTAAACGGAGCTTACATCAATAGATGTAAACAATTCACCAAAGTTTCATAAGAACTGCTGAAAGCATTTTTGATTATTTGTCCGAAAACTGGAAAATCCCCCTTTTTTTATGAAATCAAAAGTGCACACGCTGAAATGTCTCGCCTTCTTTACTAATCATTGATATTATGTTGATAGTCCTAAATATAAAGCTTTATAACAACTGTCACATAAACTTAACATTAACGAAGTAAACTAAACATTGACCAATAAACCATGAAAATGAGGTCAAGGTCAGATGAACCATGCTAGGCAGCTAACAATTCTTCCATACAACAAATATAGTTGACCTATTGCTTACAGTTTAAGAAAAATAGACCAAAACACAAAAACTTAACACTGAGCAATGAACCATGAAAATGAGGTCAAGGTCAGATGAACCATGCCAGGCAAACATGTACAGCTTGCAATCCTTCCATACAACAAATATAGTTGACCTATTGCTTATAGCATTAGAAAAACAGACCAAAACACAAAAACTTAACACTGAGCAATGAACTGTAAAAATGAGGTCAAGGTCAAATAAAACCTGCGTGACTGACATATAGATCATAAAATATTTCCATACACCAAATATAGTTGAACTATTGCATATAGTATTAGAAAAAAAAGACCAAAACTCAAAAACTTAACTTTGACCACTGAACCATGAAAATGAGGTCAAGATCAGAAGACACCTGCCAGCTAGACATGTACACCTTACAATCATTCCATACACCAAATATAGTAGACCTATTGCATACAGTATAAGAAAAACAGACCAAAACACAAAAACTTAACTATAACCACTGAACCATGAAAATGAGGTCAAGGTCAGATGACACCTACCAGTTGGACATGTACACCTTACAGTCCTTCCATATACCGAATATACTACACCTATTGCTTATAGTATCTGAGATATGGACTTGACCACCAAAACTTAACCTTGTTCACTGATCCATGAAATGAGGTCGAGGTTAAGTGAAAACTGTCTGACAGGCATGAGGACCTTGCAAGGTATGCACATACCAAATATAGTTATCCTATTACTTATAATAAGAGAAAATTTAACATTACAAAAAATCTGAACTTTTTTTCAAGTAGTCACTGAACCATGAAAATGAGGTCATGGACATTGGACATGTGACTGACGGAAACTTCGTAACATGAGGCATCCATATACAAAGAAGCATCCAGATCTTCCACCTTCTAAATTATAAAGCTTTTAAGAAGTAAGCTAACACCGCCGCCGCCGCCGGATCACTATCCCTATGTCGAGCTTTCTGCGACAAAAGTCGCAGGCTCGACAAAAACCCCAAAAACTGGAAAATCCCCTTTTTTTCATGAATAAAACCCTGTTACTCGGAAACACAAAATCTTAAATATATAAAAATCGAAAGGGAGCTCAAGTCAATAGATATAAACAATTCACCACAATTTCTTGCAAGTTGGTGAAAGCATTCTTGAGTTATTGTCCGAAAACTGGAAAATCCCCCTTTTTTTAATGAATAAAACCCCATAACTCGGAAACGTAAAATCTAAAATAAATAAAAATCGAAAGGGAGCTCATGTCAATTAAAAATAAACAATTCACCACAATTTCTTGCAAGTTGGTGAAAGCATTCTTGAGTTATTGTCCGAAAACTGGAAAATACCCCCTTTTTAAATGAATAAAACCCCATAACTCGGAAACCTTAAATCTAAAATTTATAAACAAGAGTGCACATGCTGAAATGTCTCGCCTTCTTTACTAATCATTGATATTATGTTGATAGTCCTAAATATAAAGCTTTACTACAACTATCACATACACTTAACATGATCCAAGAAAATGAGGTCAAGGTCATATAAACCAAACAAGAAATACATGTACACCTTACAATCTTTCAATACACTAAATATAGTTGACCTATTGTTTATAGTTTCTAAGATACAGACTTAACCAAGAAAACTAAACATTGACCAATGAACCATGAAAATGAGGTCAAGGTCAGATGAACCATGCCAGGCAAACATGTACAGCTTGCAATCCTTCCATACAACAAATATAGTTGACCTATTGCTTATAGCATTAGAAAAACAGACCAAAACACAAAAACTTAACACTGAGCAATGAACTGTAAAAATGAGGTCAAGGTCAAATAAAACCTGCAAGACTGACATGTACATCATAAAATATTTCCATACACCAAATATAGATGACCTATTGCATATAGTATTAGAAAAAAAGACCAAAACTCAAAAACTTAACTTTGACCACTGAACCATGAAAATGAGGTCAAGATCAGAAGACACCTGCCAGCTAGACATGTACACCTTACAATCATTCCATACACCAAATATAGTAGACCTATTGCATACAGTATAAGAAAAAACAGACCAAAACACAAAAACTTAACTATAACCACTGAACCATGAAAATGAGGTCAAGGTCAGATGACACCTGCCAGCTGGACATGTACACCTTACAGCCCTTCCATACACCGAATATGCTAAGCCTATTGCTTATAGTATCTGAGATATGGACTTGACCACCAAAACTTAACCTTGTTCACTGATCCATGAAACGAGGTCGAGGTCAAGTGAAAACTCTCTGACAGGCATGAGGACCTTGCAAGGTACGCACGTACCAAATATAGTTATCCTATTACCCATAATAAGAGAGAAATTAACATTACAAAAAATCTTAATTTTTTTTTCGAGTAGTCACTGAACCATGAAAATGAGGTCAAGGACAGATGGAAACTTCGTAACATAAGGCATCTTTATACAAAGTATGAAGCATCAAGGTCTTCCACCTTCTAAGATATAAAGCTTTTAAGAAGTAAGCTAACGCCGCCGCCGCCGGATCACTATCCCTATGTCGAGCTTTCTGCGACAAAAGTCGCAGGCTCGACAAAAACGGAAGGGAGCTCACGTCAATAGATATTAACAATTCACCAAAGTTTTATACAAATTGGTTTAAGCGTTTTTGAGTTAATGTCCGACATGTTGACGACGGACGGACAGACGGACAGACAGACAGACAGACGGACAATGGTATACCATAATACGTCCCGTAAACGGGCCTATAAAATTATATAATTTTGTTCATACCTGTTTTATAATTTTCCGTCTAGTGATACGATTGTTTTTATAAACAATAAAACATAATAGACATTTTAACTATTTTAGAAATGGTTTCTCATATAGGTTTTTCAGGTGCATGACTTCCAGGGCAACTGAATATTGCATTTTAGTAATTAATTGTTCAAATTCTGCAAAATGTTGTTCTTGTCACTGGGAAGTCTACAGCATGACATCAAAAGTACTGTTCCAGCGTCAAACATAAACACCAGACATTTTAAGGCTATGTGTACGCTTCAAAATGAAACAAAGTTTACCAAAAAAGATTTTCAGGTAAAAATTGTGTTTATTTTGTTTATTTTTGAAGAAATCACATACCAAATAATTTCTGGAATTGAAAAAGGCGGCTTTCCTAAGTTACAGACATCATGGACATATAAACCATTGATTCAACCTCCTCAAAATAGATGTCTGTACCCAATGAAAATTGTCATTATCAACGAACTGAATTAAAATACGAAAATACTGCATGTCTTGTGACAATTTAAAGAGTTTTCATATTATTTTAAATAAAATGCTCCGCAGGGCGCAGCTTGATACGACCGCAGAGGTCGAACCCTGAACAGTTGGGGCAAGTAAAGACACAACATTCAAGCTTGATACAGCTTTGCATTTGGATTGTGATTAAATATTTGACACAGCATAGGTTTCTGACACAGAATGAATGTGGTCTAAGAACTTAAAAATTTTAAATTGGACATTCACCTATTATGGTCCAATATCCAAAATCTAAATACATGGTTAGATTCAGCATATCAAAGAACCCCAAGAATTCAATTTTTGATGAAATCAAACAAAGTTTAATTTTGGACCCTTTTGACCTCAATGTGGACAAAGTTGATAATGGGGCCCAAAAATCAAAAATCTAAATACATGGTTAGATTCAGCATATCAAAGAACCCCATATATTCAATTTTTGTTGAAATCAAACAAAGTTTAATTTTGGACCCCGATTTGGACCAACTTGAAAACTGGGCCCATAATCAAAAATCTAAATACATGTTTAGATTCAGCATAACAAAGAACCCTAAGAATTCAATTTTTGTTAAAATCAAACTAAGTTTAATTTTGGACCCTTTGGACCTTAATGTAGACCAATTTGAAAACGGAACCAAAAATTAAGAATCTAAATACACGGTTAGATTCCGCATATCAAAGAACCCCAATAATTCAATTTTTGATGAAATCAAACACAGTTTAATTTTGGACCCTTTGGACCTCAATGTGGACCAATTAAAAAATGGGGCCCAAAATCCAAAAACTAAATACACGGTTAGATTCAGCATATTAAAGAACCCCAAGTATTCAAGAATAAAACCCCATTGAAATTGGTCAAGAAATAAGCAATTTATACGAAGTATCTTCTTTTGCACAATACTGTGCAATTAAATATTTCTTGCTATTGCGCAATACTGTACAATTGACAATTTCTTGCTATTGTGCAATATTGTGCTATTGCATATTTCTTGCTATTGCGCTATACTGTGCAATTGAAGATTTCTTGCTATTGCGCAATACTGTGCAATTGAAGATTTCTTGCTATTGTGCAATACTGTGCAATTGAAAATTTCTTGCTATTGCACAATACTTATTATATAATAATTTACACATCCTGTTTGGTGTGTATCTCCTACCATATCATTATAATTTGCTTTTAAATATAAATCAGAAATAACCAACTTAAAATTGAAAATTTTAAAAGAAAAAAAAAAGGAAAAAAAGAAACCCCCCCCCCAAATTTTTTGAACCCCCTTATGATTCATCACCCCCAAACTCAATCCCAGCCTTCCCTTTGTGGTATGGTACCTTGCAGTACAATTTCAGAGAGATCCATACACTTGAACACAAGTTATTGTCTGGAAACTAGAAAAATGTGTTTTTTGGCCCCTTTTTGGCCCCAAATTCCTAAACGTTTAGGGCAATTACCCCCAAACTCAAACCCAGCTTTCCTTTTGTGATATGGAGCCTTGTAGTACAATTTCAGAAAGATCCATACACTTATACACAAGTTATTGTCCAGAAACTAGAAAAATGCTTGTTTTTTGCCCCTTTTTGGCCCCTAATTCCTAAAATTTTGAGGCAATTACCCCCATCATCAATCCCAGCCTTCCCTTTGTGGTATGGTACCTTGCAGTACAATTTCAGAGAGATCCATACACTTGAACACAAGTAATTGTCTGGAAACTAGAAAAATGCTTATTTTTGGCCCCTTTTTGGCCCCCAATTCCTAAACGTTTCGGCAATTACCCCCAAACTCAATTCCAGCTTTCCCTTTGTGATATGAAACCTTGTAGTACAATTTCAGAAAGATCCATAAACTTACACACAAGTTATTGTCATGAAACTAGAAAAATGCTTGTTTTTTGCCCCTTTTTTGGCCCCTAATTCCTAAAATTTTGAGGCAAGTACCCCCAAAATCAATCCCAGCATTCCTTTTGTAATATGGAACCTTGTGGTACAATGTCAGAGAGATCCATAAACTAACACACAAGTTATGTCTGGAAGTTACAAAAATGCTTATTTTTGGCCCCTTTTTGGCCCCTAATTCCTTTACTGTTGGTACCATAACCCCCAAAATCAATCCCAACCTTCCTTTTGTGGTATTGAACCTTGTGGCAAAATTTCATAGAGATCCATTCACTTAAACTAAAGTTAGAGTGCGAAAACCAATGTGTCTTCGGACGACGCCGGACAACGCCAGACGACGACGACGACGCCAACGTCATACCAATATACGACCACAAAAATTTTTTTGCGGTCGTATCAAAATTCTAAATCAATATTTATCTCAAAAGAAAACTCCACTTATGTAGAGTTTTAGTTTCTGTTAAAATGTAAGGTGAGCATTAAAACTCAAATGGATAGAAGAACACTGTCCTGTAGCTCATCTTGTTGTTCACAGTAATATGTTCTGAACAGTCATTTTATCTGTTTTTCATTTGAGTAAGTCATCTCCCTTTTTCATGATTACTAAATTGTAATTACCATCCCTAACTGATGCTTATTATTATTACGACTTAACTCAAATAAGAGGCCTTTGTGGCTGAGTGGTCTAAGTACATGTTGTTCATCTACTATATCACTAGCCTGTCAACACTGAGGTTGTGAGTTCGAACCCGGCACATGGCATGTGTGGTCGACTCCGATCTTTATTGACAAGGATGTCAGTTTTCCTGCAGCAGGTAGGTGGTTGTCTCCAGGTACTCCAGTTTCCTCCACCAATAAAAACTGACCGCCACAATATAGACAATGGCGTTAAACACAAAAAATCATTCAATCAATCGATGAACTCAAATACTACATGTACTATTTAAACTGACTGCCCCATTGTGTTTACATACCTTTTTTTATTGCATGTACTTGATGATTAGTATACATTCCATCACACAGGAATAGCACAAACAGCAATTTTAAATCTAATACTCTTGATGCATAAGACATTCTAAAATAAAAATCAAAGATTTATTAAGAAATGAAGTAACTTGTAACCAGACAGCATGATTCTCACTAGAAAAACACACATAGCTCCTCAAGGACAATAATCCAGGACCTCTGTGTCAGTGTACTTCCCTAGCTCAACCTCTTATGGCTGGCTAAGTATCTACATGTACTACTAAAGGGAAGCAATATATAAGATATAAGAAAAATTTATTTTGATTCTGCATAAGTTAAAATATACAACACAAGCTCTAAGGAGCTTTTGACCGAATATAAAAACATATACATAACATAAAACAATCTAAGATATAAAACAACCTGTAATACAAAGCTGAATCTCACACACATAGCATGCAATAAAAATTAAGCAACAGATTTAGAATGAAGTAAAACATTGTTTCTACAATTAGAAGTGAGCAAATTGGTTTTACTAAAGGATGTCGCACAACAGACCATATGTTTGTGTTAAATACCATCATTCAAAAATTTTTGAAAAATAATTCGAAGCCTCTGTATGCATGCTTTGTAGATTTTAAGCGTGCATTTGATTCAGTCTCACATCTCAACCCTTTTTTTAATTTAAATGTATAGGTGTTGGAACAAAGTTTTATGACATTATAAAGTGTATGTATGGAAACACAGAAACCTGTGTAAAAATAGACCAGCACAGGACAAACCTATTTAAATCAAATATAGGAGTAAGACAAGGGGATAATCTTAGTCCCTGCCTCTTTAACATATATTTAAATGATTTGCCAAGCTATTTTGACCAAACATGTGACCCAATCCCATTAAACACACACCCTTTAAATATTTTAATGTATGCTGATGATGTAGTTCTTTTATCATCATCAGAGCAAGGACTTCAAAATTGTGTTAATAAATTATTTTAATTTACAGTTGATTGTAAAATGACAGTTAACACCAAAAAGACGAAGGTTCTTGTATCTTACAAATCAGGACGACGTAAAAATATTAAAATATCCTGAGGAAACCAGATTTTAGAATGTGTACAGAATTACACATACTTAGGAATAAATTTTTCAGTATCTGGGAGCTTCCAAATAGCAAAGAAAGAACTTTTTAACAAAGGAATGAAAGCTTATTTCAAATTAAGAAAGACCTTTTCAGTGGAAAGCCCAAAACCTAGTACTTTATTACATAATTATAACCATATAATCCGACCCATCTTGTTGTATGGATCTGAAATTTGGGGTTATATACCATATAAGAAACAAAAACATTTGGATAACTTTATATCAAAAGAAACTGATTATATTGTTCTAGAGAAAATTCATACTAAGCTTTGTAAATTTTCCCTTGGCGTTAATATAAAAACATCAAATATGGCATGTAGAGGGGAACTAGGTTCACTCCCTACACTTTATTATGTAATTATCAATATGATAAAATATTGCATTAATCTTATGAAAGATGTTGAACCTTCAAATATTATCCTATGGGAGGCCATAAATTTATCCCATTCTCTGAACAAACCTAACCAGGAATCTTGGAAAGGAAACATTAAACATATATTTAAATTCCTAGGTTTAGACTATCTATTTGCAAACCAGTCAAATTTTAAACAAAACCATATGTTAAATAAAGTAAAAAATTCTCTAACAATAAAATTTAAAGAAATTTGGGTAGCTAGTTTAAAAAGCAATTCTGGGAAGTGTACCAATATACAGTCTGGCAATAAATTAAGAACTTACAGAAAATTTAAAAATATTTTTATGTTTGAACCATATTTAACAATAAATTCAAAAAAAGACAGGCATATAATTACAAGATTTAGAACTAGCTGTCATGATCTTGAAATCGAAAGAGGGAGATATGTTGGTATTAAAGCTGAAGACAGAAAGTGTAAGCTATGTAAGAACGCAGTTGAAGACGAACTACATTTTATTTTAAAATGTCCTGTTATTAAAGATACTAGATCTCAACATCTGTCTAATTTAAATTTTAAATTCAAAAAATTTTCAAAGAACTGTAAAAGTGAAGCTACCCAAATTTGTACTTGATCTGAGTTTTGAGGTAATAAGTATTGTGTATAAGTTTCATAACATTTGGTTGAGGCAAACTGAAGTTAGAGAACGGAAACCAATCTTGGGACGGATGGACAGACAAGGGTAAAACTTAATGCCCCCTCCGCTACGGCGGGGGCATAAAAATAGAAAGAAAAAAATATTTAATAAAATCGATCAGGAGTTGTCTCCCATAGACCTAGGACTTTAAAATTATGGAATTTCTCCAGGTCACATTTATTTATTTTTTTTACTTGGCTTCCAAAATAACTTTATGTTTTATCAATTACATGGTTTATATTCATGCTACTTTGTTTGAATGTGTATTCATGTTTTAAGTTTAAATGTACTTTAATCATTCTAATCATTCTAATCATTTACTGTGCTTTATTTTGTAATTCATTTGATTGTATAGCTCAAATTTTGGGCACCATGATTGGTTAATAAAATTATCTTATCTTATCTTATCTTGTTTACCTATATCATAAAAAGTTTAAAATTTAGATTAAAAATATGGTAACTATTTAAATAAATAGATTACTTTTATAAAAATCAAATAAAAAAAGTTTAGAACTATAATATAACCATTGAGATCTAGAAATTTCAAAGAACAGAATATTTTCAACATGAATTGATTACCCAATTTCTTGAAATATGTGTCAGAAATTAAAATTTAAATATATAAAAATTTGTGAAGAAATAGTCCAAAGAAACAAAATGAAACATAAATAATAAACAGCTCAAGAGTTATCTGCAAGCAGAACTGCGACATTCCAAACCGTTCCAGGACTGAACAAGACTATTAAAATGTGAAAAACTATTCAAGTTCAGTCCCATCAACATGACTTTCCCCTCCTCAAGAGTCATCATACCATTATGACTCTCACAACACATCACCCTGGCTAGATATCATCTTAAACCACCATGGGTTTTTTAGTTGGGCTTCAAATGTAACTGGAGAGCATGATTCCCACTAGATGTCTCCTCCAAGACTCAAACTTGGGACATTTTGTTAGAAGTCAGGGCTTTAACCGACTGAGCTAAAGAAGCATTTCCCTAGCTCACTTGCTTACAGGTGGCTATTAAGTATTCGGTAATGGTATTTATCATGTTTATCATATTTTTGTCAGGAAAACATATTTTGCATATGTAATAACTACAGAATTTCTCAATAATTACGCATAATTATACTGCCCTGGTAAAATAACTGGTTAACAGGTTACAGGGCTGCCAAGTCTCACGCTCACGCATTTTCATGCTTATTTGGCGGCATTTTCCTTTGATCTATTGTTTTTTCTCTTTGATCTTTACGATTTTGGCCAAATCTCACGCATTTGCATTATTAAAAGTTGGCAGAACTGAGGTTAATATGCCCCCTCCCTTTTCCCAAAATAAAATGGTTGTTCCCTTATAATATGGAGAAAAGGTATGGTTTTTTTAAGTCAACAATTGTATCATCTTTATAATCTATAAAAAATGAATGATATTATAGAACTTTTTATATCTGATAAAATACATAAAACATCTAATTGAAGAGCGAATGACTATCGTCTACTTTTATGTGAAGCTAGTAGAAAAGTGGGATTTGACATGCGAACATCATAGCAAAGGGAGATAAAACCACCATATTTTTTTTATAATTTCAGAATCAAAATTGTGTAAAATATCATATTAACCAATTCAACTGTCATGCAGACTCACCTGAGAAGAAATTTAACTGACTCCTAGCTGGAACTTATTGGTTGCAGATTCCAGATTACTATATATATCAAAAATGGTACCTAACAATTAATATTGCGAAATAATACTTACCTGCTTACACTGTACCAGGTATTTACAAATAATGCTCTGACTCATTCAAGACACAGTTTTTACGTACAGTGGGACCACAGTTGATAATTGTTATGATTTATATTTTCGAAAATAAGTAGTTTGCATTATTGTCCAATGATAAAATGAGTGTGACCTTATGGTATAAATAAATACGGGTCAATGGAGGCCTTTACTAAAATAAGGAACTATAAAACGGAACGGAAATGGATACTAATGGACACATAGTAAGCTAAGACTATATAAACACACGTTTAAACTGTTATAAAGGTCTTAGTTATAAGTCAAATGCTTGTCTGTGTAGATTCTGATCCTTTATATTAATTATTACACATCAAATTTATTTAAGAACCCTAAGGGGGTGCCGGCACTGTAACTTGTAAACCACAGGCACTTGTCTGAAAAAAATGGTATGGGATATTAATTGGTATATATCATATTATATGAATTTTTTCAGAGACAAGTGCCTGTGTTGTAAATCGTCTAATGAGGCGTCTGGGACCTGATATATGTTATATGCTATATTATTCAATCAAGGCAGTTTGTTGATGAATAAAATTGAGAATGGAAATGGGGAATATGTCAAAGAGACAACAACCCGACCAAAGAATAGATAACAGCCGAAGGCCAACAATGGGCCTTCAACGAAGCGAGAAAATCCCGCACCCGGAGGTGGGCCTCAGCTGGCCCCTAAATAAAAATGTGTACTAGTTCAGAATAAGAATAAGAATAAGAATAAGAATAAGAATTTTATTAGTTTAAAATCCAAACAATAGGATTGTTACTAAATAAACAAACCAATACAAAACCAAAACAAAACAAACAAACAGACAGACAGACAGGCATATTCATGACAAAACGATAGACATTAAACAATACAAACATGTAGCATTGAAAAAAAAAAAAATAAAGATTATTAATATTAAGTATTATACTATTTTTGACAGTTCAGTGAAAATGGACGTCATACTAAACTCCAAAACATAAAAATGAACTAAAATTAAAAAACATACAAGACTAACAAAGGCCAGAGGCTCCTGACTTGGAATGAGGCGCAAAAATGCGGCGGGGTTAAACATGTTTAGTGAGATCTCCACCCTCCCACTATACCTCTAACCAATGTAGAAAAAACAAACACACAGTAATACGCACAGTAAAACTCAGTTCAAAAGAAGTCCGAGTCCGATGTCAGAATAGGTAACAAAAAAAACTAAGCAAATTGACAATGATACATAAATTAACATAGGACTACTAGCAGTTACTGACATGCCATGACATGACATGACAGCTCCAGACCTCAATTAAACTGATTGAAAGATTATGTCTTCATCATATGAAAATCAAGCACAATCCCTCCCGTTAGGGGTTTAGTATCATACCATCATAAAATATATGAGAAGAACATAACCCGTGTCATGCCAACAACTGGTTTTAGAATAAATATGTTTATTTCCGATGCAAAGACCCTATGAGTGAATTAATATTAATACCAAAATATGCAGAGAAAAACATGAGCTTATGCATTGCAAAAATATAGGTATCGACATATTGTAATACTGTGAAAGTGCATTGAATTGGTAATATTTTACAATAAGTTTATTAAAAGGATTGATAAGTTTACCCGGATCGTATCTAAATTTCCGAGTTCGGTAAACAACATCACCGTAAAATTAGGTATGCGCTATTCCGTTTGAATAAGTTTTCTACAGGTACAGCCAAACTTGCAAACCAAATCTTTGTATCTACGGAAGAATTTAGTAAAGGTTTTAAGTAATTTGTGTAACGAAATCCCTGACTTAATAATTTACCAATAATGCATATATACTAGTAGATTACGCTCTTTGAAATCCCAAAAGTCTCTACAGACACGGACATAGCGCACGAGTTGGGATATATAAACACCGTAATACGATGCCAAAGGAAAATCACCGTCCAAAATAGGAAAATTAAAAATAGGGACAGAAAAATCATCCCTTTTGTCGTTAAATTTTGTGTAGAGTTATTTAGTTTGGAGTTTGTTGTCTTGACAAACTGTTAAAATGAAAATTAAAGGAGCGAAATATTCCTTCTTGATTTCTGATCATATACCCGGATCGCCCCTGAATCCGAATATAGTACCATAATCTTAACAATGTTGACGAATACAATAAATCACTACTGAGATTATATTGAACCAAATGATTTTCAGACACTTTCGAGCGACTTAACAGACTAAACATTGACATTCGCTTCTCATGACACTGAGTCATGTATCTGTTAAACAAAAATCTCTTTAGGGGGACTTTATGTTTGCACTCCGTCCGTCTGTCCATCCGTCAGTACGGCAAATCAGTTTTCAACATTTTTCTCTCCGTGTTTGAAGATATTGATTTGATATTTGGTATATAGTTTTATCATGACAAGTTATAGATCAAGTTTGAAATTTTTTCCGGTCTGGTGATACTGTGCAGAGTTATTGTCCTTGGATTTAGAAATTTCACGAAAGTAATTAGTTTTCCGCACTCTTTTTCGTCATGCTTGAAGATATTGATTTGATATATGTTATATAGACAAGTTATCGATCAAATTAGCATTTTGTTCAAGTACAATGAATTTTGAACAGGTAGGGGACTATGTATTGCGTAGGGAACTATGTATTGCCATGCAATACTTTATCTTGTTTTGTTTTTAAATTACTCAAAAATGTGCCAAATTGAAGTTTTGAACCATCTTTAATTTGATCAAATGTTCGGAAATAAACCAAAGTGCTGTTAAAACCTTTGATTACACGTATGCACACATGGTACTGGGAACTTAGTAAAGATCGAAGGACTTTTAGAAAAGGCTATGCTGTGAAATAAATTCTGGGAAAAAATGGCCCTACCTTTTTTCTTCTTGAATTAGAAAAGTTTTTATTAGAAGTTTAATTCAGTATGAAGTAACTAAATATTGTTATTGTGTTTTTTAAAAGTAATCATTTTGTGCAATCCTGGATCGTGCTAGTACAAATAAAGATATCTCAATTTTTACTACAAAGTAGATATTGAGATATTGGAATTTTGATTTTTTTACTGGATTTTAAATAGTATTAATCATAATTCTGATTTCTACTAGTAGATTTTGCAATTCCAATTTGTACTGTAATATGTTCATATAAATTGCTTGTCAATAAATATGTAGTTTTTATTTGAATTTCATTGAAGATCGTACTGAATGAATTTCATTGAAGAGCTTACTTAAATAGAGATCCCTTCTCAAATCAAATCTCTTGTCCTGGGACACATCAGAAATCCAATTAAACCTTAGCAGTTGGGATGATGCTATGTCAGACCCGTTTGGTTGAATTTTCTGTAAACTTTTGGCCTCGAATTTACCTGGTGATGGTTTTTTTAGCCATAAGAAATCAGTATCCCACGTTTATTTCCTACCACATCTTCTCTGCTATCCTATGAATAGGCTACAACTCCCATGCAGGATCATTACACCTAACACAGATTTAAACGGTAATTTTTAACATAGAGATTCCGATTGATAGATTTGTATGAAGAATTTATTGTGCCAAACTGCTTGATTTTCAAACTACTGCCTTGATGGATTTTCCCACTTACAAAGTTTCTTCTATCTGGACCTTTTTCTGATGAATCTAAACAGAAACACACCTTTTCTCGATTTGACCTGTCTTACAATTTTTGTCCTGGAACTAACAGACCAAAAGCTCAACTGATCGCACGACTGTGTGTGTGTTATCGTATATCTTTTGTTGAGTAGACAACAAATATGTAACGCCAAAGGAGAGAAAAGCCATGCTAATATTTTGTAGATAATTGTTGGTGTGAAATAGTCACAGATAGCTTGAAAACGAAAGACGAATCTCTAAATTTATAATCCATTTCTGTTTATGGTCCTCTTTAGTTTCGATGTTCGTTTCAAATCAAAATTAAGTCATTGGTAACTTTTAAGAATCATTTCATACGACCTTTTTGTAAATATTGTACCAAAAATATTGCATGCTTGTCTGGACTCGAGAAGATTGATACTTTAACCCTAATGCCCAACGACGCATCTGGGGATGTCAGTTTTGGTAACCTTGCGTTTTTTTATTGTTGTCTCGATAATGTTAACCCTGACATTTCTTTTTAGTCGTATTGGTCACGTCGTATAATTATATTTTTCATGATTTATATATGACTAGAAAAAATTATTGATCAATTATCATAAAGTGTTTATTGTTGATTTTATTATCGTTTACACTGAAGTGTCCGATGTTGATTTCATTTTAGTTCACACTTCTGTCTTGTAATGACATTGTTTCCTGAAAAATGAGAAATTGGTTATATAATAATTAAGTTTATTCATCATTTATTTCTTAAAAAATATCAATTTGAACCAATACATATTAATCTTGTAGACGGGAATCTGTTTGGAAAGTGTGAATTAAATTAGGTTGTATTTGGAATATGATTCCAAAATAAAAAGGGAAATTTTCCAAATTTAATGTTTGGTGTGAAATCGTGAGACGGACAGTTTTCATTTCATAAAGCAGATTAAATTACGGTTTATGAAATATTAATGTATATGACAACTCTGACGATTGTGGTTGATAATATTATAATTATTCAATAAAGCTTCAGTCTAAATGTTTCACTTTTCCATTACGATCGTATTTCTAATGTTAAAATAGGAATTAATATGACAATGATCATATTTGTATAGAAGCTTTTTTTATAGGAAGTAATATTTTATACTTTTTACAAGTTTCCGCCAACCTCTAAGATATATCGCAGGCGTCGTCAATGCCTAGCTATATAAGTAAATAATCCATTTCGGAATAAGTACCAATGAGATCATTGATATTGGCAAAGTGTTAAACATTCAATTCAGTTTAAGGCCAAAATTGTGGTTTCATCCGAAATCGTTTCAGTTTGGTATTTCTCGTTTAAATCACAAAATAAGTAAAGATACGTCGTGTGACATATTTTAATCGCAACGTAACAAATATATTTTGGGAATATTTTTGGCTGTAGTAAATAAAAATTCCTAAGAAACTGGCATTATTTATTGACTACTTTTATTCTTATTGTCATTAAAATAGCAAATCATTAAATCTCATACAGTTGGCCAAAAGATGACAATCTGAATAAAAATAATCTCTCATCTTTTGAAGAAAA